TATGTTAAATTGACTGAGACAATAGGCTATTTCACTCTTTGTTTTGTATCAGCATGTTTTTTTTATTTTTTATTTATTTATTTATTTTTAAATATTTTTATTTATTTCTAGGAGAGAGAGAGAGACAGACAGCGTGAGCAGGGGAGGGTCAGAGAGAGAGGGAGACACAGACTCTGAAATAGGCTCCAGGCTCTGAGCTGGCAGTCAGCACAGAGCCCGACGCGGGGCTCGAACCCACTAACCGCGAGATCATGACCTAAGCGAAAGTCGGACACTTAACCCACTAAGCCACCCAGGCGCCCCTGTATCAGCATGTTTTAACGAGAAGTGCATTTGATCTCAGTGAATGTGTATCAGTGGAGTTCATTAAGAAAAGAGCTATGATCTCAGCCTTTGATTACTGAAAGCAAAAATTTAATCCTGAAACTAATTTTAATCTAACACATTCCCATCTCAATCTCCAGTTTCTAACCAATGTGTTGACAGATAATACATTTTAAAATTAATTACGTAAATTATTCCATGGCTTCTTCAATTAGACTTTTTACTATAAAATTGCTTATATTCTCTACATAATAAACATATACTACAGACAAAAGTTATTATCCCACTTGATAAAACCTCAGAGAAGCTTAGTGTCTTGATCAACGATAACACAGCCTGTTGGTAGAGAAGCCAGAAATAGGACCAAGTTCTTCTACTTCATCACCACATCTTTGACATTTTATAAAAGTTTAGGCTTAAAAATTAAAATGCTACCCATTTTGGTCTGGAATGATTATTAGCACATGGTCATTTATAGGTTTTTTAAAGAGAGTGTTAAAAACCTCCATATGTTCTAATCCTGGAAACCAGTGTACTTTACAAATAAATTAATAATCTTTTAATACACAAAAAAGGCCAGAGTGTCCACTCAACACCTTCTTAGCCTTCGCATCTTTCTACATAAAAGCAGAGCAGATGCTTCTTGGCTAAATTCAAAATAGCATTTATTTACATATGTTTTATGGGAAAGCCATTAAAAATGTTTGGTAGACCTGCAGGGGAATGCTGGGTGGGAAAGGCGATGAGTCCCAGACAGTGATGACTGTTCCTGAAAGTCTTACAGCAATTAGTTTAGGGAATGAGTGCGAAATATTTGGCTTCTGATCTGAAGTGTCCTCATTTTAGCACCTGGTGGAATCTTAGAGAATAAAGGAATCTGAATTAAAGATTTGTCACTGAATATCCTTCCAAATTTGGGGTTTATTTATGTTCTGAACTCTTAGTCTTATGCCTGCGAATTTTCATGTCAAGTACCAAAGAGCATGGAGAGCAATACCAAGTAGCCGTGAGCCAGGCTGTCAAGTAGTTGTAACTGGTCCTCATTCAGGTGGGAGTGCAGCCCTTAATAGATGCAGGTGGAATTTTTATTTTCGGTACATGAGGGCACAAAGCACATGTAGAAAAAAAGAAAGTTGTTTACCTTTGGATTAGATAATAACACTTAATTAAAGCCAGAAGAGTTGAACTTTTGTGAAAGCTTGAAGAGGGAAATAACATTAACCAACAGCACGCCAGATTCTTTTACTTGTTTCCTCCTTCGGTCCCCGTGAGACCCAAGGCTTGCTAATAGTTTCTATTATTTTCTTTCCCCTCATCCCTGTCCACCATTAAGAAGCTAAAATTTGTCAAGTTAAGTAACTTACTTGAAATAATGCAGCAGTGAAGAAATTTTTTAAAAAATATTTTTATTTCTAGGAGAGAGAGAGAGAGAGAGAGATAGAGAGCATGAGCAGGGGAGGGTCAGAGAGAGAGGGAGACACAGACTCTGAAATAGGCTCCAGGCTCTGAGCTGGCTGTCAGCACAGAGCCCGACGTGGGGCTTGAACCCACGAACCGCGAGATCATGACCTAAGCGAAAGTCAGACGCTTAACCTACTAAGCCACCCAGGCGCCCCAAGAAAAATTTTAACTTAAACCCAGTTAAATTCTATGTTTTATGTTCCTTCCACAAACATAAACCATGCCGTAAAATTAGGCTTCCCTTTTGGGGGAATAGAAGAGCTATCACCTAGATACAATCTCAAAAAAGGTGTTTTCCTCTCAAAGAAGGCTGAAATTTTGCAAATGGAGTCAGGGGGTTTTGTGAGGCGCTTTTTCCTGAATATTTTGCAACCTTAAAACATGTATTTCTATTTCTATTTCCATTTCTATTTCTATTCTAGTTCTACTTGTGAGGCGCTTTTTCCTGAATGTTTTGCGACCTTAAAACATGTATTTCTATTTCTACTTCTATTTCTATTCCTTAGCATGTCCATACCTAGAAATCCGATTACAGTGGTCTCTGTACATAACCAATTGTCTGCAGCCTTTTGAGGCTGAGTAATCAATCATATCCAAAAAGCTGCAATTTCAAATCATTGTTACTGAAGTAACTGTTAACCAGTGTAATAAGGTATTATGGTCCCTGAATGATAAGAACATTGTACTTTTATCGACTACCTGAGTAAATGCTTTGTTTTATTTCCTTGTTTTTAGAATTTTATCAGTTGAAAATGCACAATCTACCTAATCACAGATTTTAAGGTTTTGCTCTAGCACTAGAAGAAACTGCTAAACACTTAGTAAAATATGATTTTAGTCTGATTCTTGATTTCTGAAATGTTAAAATTTGATTTTTGGGATGAATTTTATAAATGTTTAGTTATCTTTTGAAGAGAGAGAGAGACAGAGAGAGAAAGAGAGAGAGAGAGAGAGAGAGAGAAAGAGGGACTGTGAGTGAGGACTCAGAGCAGAGAGAGAGCGGGGGAGACACAGAATCCAAAGCAGGGTCCAGGCTCTGAGCTGTCAGCACAGAGCCCTATGTGGGGCTCAAACTCACAGACCGTGAGATCATGACCTGAGCCAAAGTCGAACACTTAACTGACTGAGCCAACCAGGCACCCCTAAAATTTGCTTTTTAAATTGAGTAAATATAGCACCTTAAGTAACCTTAACCTTTCCCAAATTACATCTTTTGCCTTTATTTCCCATCTAGAACTTATGTCTTTGAATCCATTCATCTGCCAGTATCTAGTCTCTAATATCCAGCTATACACACATGACCACATTGCTCCCTCAGAACTACAGTTCCCACCAGATTGTGTTATCATCTCTCAAGTGTAAAGCTAACTAAGAGAAAATTGTGTGGAAAAATAATAACAGTGTTTCCTTCCATGGTGATTTCCTGTGGATGACTAAAAAGTGAGGTTTCATGGATTAGGAACTTTTGAGGACTTGCTTAGGACCATACACCTATGGTTAGGTCCACATGGCATTTATTAAGATATTCTTCAGTGGCTGACATTGCATGAGATACACAGATGAGAAACGTCAACATGTATGTGAGTACAATTTCATGTGGGGAACACTTGCAGGAACAACATGTTTTAAAACAAGGATAAACTCAGAGGACAATTGTATCTTTTATGAATTTTGACTTGAGTATGAATGATTCTATTGTGTCTTTACGTCATTCCAAGAATTAAATCTTACACTAAATTGACCACTGGCATTTCTTTCATTGTTTTCCTATCACTCTTTTGCTGTATCACCAGAGGAATGCAGAAATACCGGATTATTATCTAATGAATTCCAAAGTCAGAGGCCTTTGGATTCATTGTAAGACTTTCTTTAAAGGCTAGACTCTGCCCAAATCCAAAGGGGGTAATTCCATCCATGAATTAGCTATCTTTACTTGGATTTTACGTATTTTGTTACATTATAGCCGTATTACCTCCAGTAAAAATCAGTTGTTAATCCCTTTTAATTAATTTCTGAAATATAGTCAGAGTTAGTTGGGGTATGTTTTTACTACTTTGAGCCATTAAACAGATTGTGATATGTTTGTCTTATGTGGTTTAAGGAGTGAAAAGATTTTTCTGAGAATTTTAATCAAATTCTTAGGTTGATATTTGAGACATAATTTTTTGGAAATGGAGATAGTAGAATATTATTAGGGTGGAAGTATCATATTCTACTTACTATGATCTTTGTTGGTGAATCTGGGCTCTGTTCCCAGCTCCAAATAGAAATGCTAAATTGTCTTGGTTAGATTTCTCATCCATCATATGCTTCAATTTCCCACTTGTCTTTTTAAATTCTTCCTTGGGATTTTGCCAGAGTCAACTAGAAAATGTCTCATGTACTTTAGGCTTTGAGAGGAAAAGACACTGTAAAATGCCTCAGTTATCAAAATAAATCTAACCAATTTGTGATTATCCACTTTGTGATTTTTCTCTCAGAAATCTTTAATCCCATAGGAGCTTCACTGGCTACTTGGCATAGATCTGATCAGGGCAAATTCACGTCATTTCTAGCTAACGTGTATGTAGGTAATGCAGAATGCTTTTGATTAACCTGAATTTGCCCAAACTGAGTTATAAAACATACTGACTCCAAAATCCAGCATGCTTCTCAGGCCAAAAGAAATGTATTCAGGAACATATTCCCAGTTTTTTATTATCCATTCCACTTCTTCCTTGTATAAACATGGGTAGTTTGTACATTAAGGATGGATTTTTAAGTGCACATCTGTGCTAGTCTCAATACCATAATCAAAGAATTATCCTTTTATTATAACAATTTAAAGAATTATATTAGGAAGTGCATTTATCATTTTTGTATTAAGTCCTTAAGTTTAGTGAGTAGATTCAGCTTTTGTCATAAGTCTAAGCGAGTTGGCAGATATGAGCATTTATCTCACAGAATAGGATGTGGCAGTAACAGGAGTGATTTTCCTGTTTTGCTGGTATTAAACAAATTTTTCAAATTCATGCAGCTGGGCCTTGAGAGACAGACTTTGTCATATTCATGGGATTTTGTATTTGAGTGACAAGTGCAAACTTTAACACTTTAAGATGCACCGAAGTTAGACCACTGTGCTGGAGGTGGCCACTATTGTCCAGGATGATCAGATATCTTTTCACAGCTAGATTATGGCAATTTATAGTCTTTCTTTTGTCTTTTTTTCCCCACAGCTGTTGTGAACTTGGACAATTCTGTGGTTGATCTGGAGACCCTTCAAGCTCTCTATGAGAATGTGAGTAATAGAAGGAATTTTATGTGTGAGTATATAATACATACACAATACTTGCCAATATGCACATCTAGACTCATTGCTTTAATGTCCTTTAAGAAAATTATATCTGGGTGCACTAAATTCACTTAAGTATAAGTTTGTTAAATACTTTCTAGGGAACTTACCGGACAAATGGATGGCCTCATAATTTCAAAGATTGTGGTTCAAAGCATGCTGCATGTGAGGTCATTCGTATCCCCTCTTTTGAAATATAATAGTCAATACTCACATAGAGGTTAATTTGAGCTGAGCATTGCTCTGCACTAATTTAGTTAATCTTCACATGAAAACTCTAGGTAGGTATTATTATTATCCTCATTTTACATATGAGGAAATTTAGGGATAGCTGGTCAAATGACTTGCTCAAAATCCCATAGCTAATGTGGGATAGCTGGGGTGTAATTCATTTGAGTCCACTTCTTCTAACTGCATGGTTTGCTTCACCAAGTGGCGGAACATTCAAGATTTCCTCCAGCAGCACTTTTTCTTATGTTGGCAGGAAAAAAAACCCAGTAAGGAATCAGAGAAGTAGGACTATAGCATGATACGGTCTGTGCCTTTGGGAACTGCGTGGTGAAACATGAAATGGCTTTAGCTGGGGTACGGCATTAAATACACTGATTCACATAGTAAGAAAGTGATTTTCTTATCAGGGCCTTTAGAGTGCTTCTGAGGAACTATATATATTTATTATAAATATATTACTATATTCTATAGCAATAGAACTATATATAGTTCTTCAGAACTATATGTGTTTTGGAGAAAGTCTCTGTGTGGCCCTATTTTATACCTGGTATCTTTGGGCTCTGTATTTTCATTTTGTTTCTGCTTTTGCCTATAATGTGCCTGGTATTAAGCCTCTGTGCTCTTTAGGGGCATGGCTTTAGTTGGCCCTTGACTTTTCAGCCCCAAGTCAAAGAATTCCTGGCTCTGGAAGATACACATAGTGAACAGGATGCAGACTTCTTCCCTGACCACCCCCTTAGGAATAGTGTTTTTGATCTATGTTCTAAACATATTTATATGTGGTTTCCCCTGTGAAATTTAGACCTTTGTAAGAGAAAATGTTTCTTATGGTACATTGCATAGAATCTATTGATCAAGTGTAGTCTTGGTACCTGGTCACCACAATGACCATAGGTGCTCAGTTAGAATGAGTCATTAATGAGGCCTGAGAGGGGAGGCTGGAATGGTTGATTATATGGGGCACCTGGGTGACTTAGTTAGTTAAGCATCCAACTCCTGATTTCAGCTCAGATCATGATCTTGTGATTATGGGATCAAGCCCCAGTTGAGCTCCGTGCTGAGCTGAGCGTGGAGCCTACTTGGGATTCTCACTCTCTTTCTCTCTCTTTCTCTCCTTTCTCCCTCTGTCCCTCTCCCCTGTTTGTACACATACTCTCTCTCTAAAAAACAACAAAAAAAAGAAAATTTGAAATATTTTGTTGATCATATAGTTGTCTAAACTGGAAAAATAAATCACATATTTAGTATATCAGTACATTAGTGTCCCAGTGAAATGGGTATGTAAAACATATCCGTTTAGAGGTACAGAAAGTTTTCATTTCTCTTGAATCTTTGATACCAATCCTTTCCCAACCAGGAGAATCATATGGAAGAAATGAGGAAATACCAGAGATAGTAATTTCTTCGATAGGTCATAATGATGTATGATGTTGGTGTCTATTTAACTGTTTTTCTTATACCTACATTGCATATATGTATATATAAATGCTTACATATATACATAATATATATGTGTATATTGTATATGTGTCTTATATATTCTATGAAGACATATGAATGTCTTAACCTGATATATCCATGTGTAGAAATATATGCAGAAAAAGTAGGGAAGTTGGGAACAACGATGTTTCTGAACAAAGTTTAATGTGCAGTGATTTAGAGTATTTTATTTGGGAGTTTTTAGCCTGTCAGAGCAAATTAATTTTTATGAAATAGAAATTTCTGACTCTGAACTAGATAGCCACCCAGAGTTTGTGTCTAGTTTCTCATTATCGTACTCATGAAGGTAGAAGGAGCTGGGACTTGTTTACTTCGTGGTTTTCTCTTTGTTGTTGTTATCAAACAATGGTTCAGGCTTCCATTGTGTCAGGAAAATGCAATGGTGGGGATGGTTTCTAGTAATACCAGTTCAAGTAGTAAAACGCTGGATTTCTTTGCTAGCCATCGATGGTAGAGGAACTTAAAGAATCCATTATGAATAATAGAACTCATGCTAATTCCTAGCTGACTTTCACTAAAGTACAAAGAGGGAGAAATATTTGTTTTATCCATGGCAATATCCCTAGTATCTAGAATTAAGGAATATTGGCACATAGGAAGTATTCAGTAAATGTTAAATAAATGTTTATATGAATTAATGACTGGAAAAACCTCTTTTGGGCTATCATGTGTTTTTCAAATCCTGTTTGCATATTCAAACTGATTGCTACCCACTGGAAACGAGGATCTGTATTGAACATACATTTGTGCTGTTTTCATTTCTTTAGTAACCTAAGAGGATTTCATGTGCAAAATAATTAGCAGTTCTTTCCAGTGGGGTCCAGTAGCCCAGTCATAATTTATTGTAAACCTGCCAGATATAAAAAGTATGGTTGACACTTTGAAAAGGGTAAATGAAGATTTAAAATGTTTCTAGTGGAAGTATTCTGGGTCATTAAGGAGAGACTCCTGGAGATCTATTTATATATAAGGGTTTTCAGTTTTCTAGGGATAAGTGCTGAGGCAGAAATCTATGCTTTTTTGAGTAATACATAGCAGCAGTAGAGTTCTCCACATTTAGCGAATGAATATGCCTCTAACAAAGCAAAGGACTCCCCCGAATGTAAGAAATAATGCCTATTCCCTATACATGCAAACTGTATTTGTTCAAATCCCTTCTTTTCACTTGTTTAGGCTTCTAAAATTCCCTGAATTTTTAGAAATAGTGATAATTTAATATCGATTATGCACCAACGGTTGTTCGAAGTCCTTTACATATAGAAGTTCATTTAATCCTCTAAATGCCTCACCTGTGACTTATGAAGAAGAAATACTGTTGTTGTCTAACCCTTTTTAGAAAATTGAGACACAGCAAGGTTCTCACAGCTCAGAGCTCTGGTGGCACCTGCTCACCTCTCCTAAGGAATGTGCGCTAAGCACAGAATTTCCTGATTCATGGTGATCACTGAATAGAGCTTTCAGGAGGACTGGAGGCAGCCCTGTATGGTACGAAAGAACATGGGATAAAAGAACTCAAAGGAATTCTGTTCAGGATCCAGCACTGCAATTACACAGATAGATGCCTTTGTTCTTTGGTTTCCATACTCTCATTTCTAAATGGGGTTCCTAATAATTCATACTAACAACATTAACTTTTTGACACCATCAAATGAATGGAGAAGAGTCTTTTAGACCACTCAGTATTATTATGCTTAAGAGGTTTTTTTTTTTCTTTAAATAAAAATAAATGTGGGCATAGAACCATGAATGTCAAATTGCAGAAGATTACTTCTCAGGCTGGTAAGATTGAGGGTAACAAAGGCTGAATGCCTTGTAAATTAAAGTAAAACTGGACCTTTTCATCGAGGGCCTCAAGATTTTGCCATGTGAAGCAGGATAGATACTTGTATCTGTACAGGGAACATGAATTTAAGAGAGAATACTTTGTTATAATTTTCAGAATCATACTACTTTACTCTCAATCAGTTTAAAGTTTGTTTTAGCCTTTAAAACAGTCTCAAAGATACAATAAAATTGCCAATGTGGTGTAGCAAGCTTTTTTTTTTGCATCATTTGCAAATAAATTGCAATATTAGACCCTATTATTCTTGAATTTTGGTGCATATTGCCTACAAATAAGTATGTCTTGAGCCATCAGGCAACCATCAACATTAGGAAATTAATGCTGATATATTGCTATCATCTAATCCTCAGATCCCAGTCAAATTTTGTCAGTTATTCCCATAATTTCCTTTATATTTAGGACATCTGTCTTTGAAATCTTGTAGTGCTTTTTATCTTCCTTTCCTTGGGCACTGGCTTCTTCTTTTTTTTTCTTTATATGTGCATATGTCTTATCTTTCAACAGAACTAGAAGTTACTATTAGGATTTTTATATTATATCTGAAGCTTAATGGTTTATATATAATATTAATAATTACTAATTAATTAAAGAATGACTTGTTTTTGTTCTTAGTATGGTTTTTATAATTGAGAGACATGAAAATTATTTATGTCATTGTATTTCAAATGTACTTTTTTGAAAGAACAGTGTAAAAATTAATGCAGCTTTCTTAAAAATATGATGATTTTTGGGGCGCCTGGGTGGCTTAGTCTGTTGAGCGTCCAACTTTCGCTTAGGTCATGATCTCGCGGTTCGTGGGTTCGAGCCGCGCGTCGGGCTCTGTGCTGACTGCCAGCTCAGAGCCTGGAGCCTGTTTCAGTCTGTGACTCCTTTTCTCTCTGACCCTCCCCTGCTCACGCTGTCTCTCTCTCTCTCCTATAAATAAATAAAGAACATTAAAAAATTTTTAAAAAAAGATGATTTTAGAAATATTTCTACAAAGATTCAGAATTACTGCATAGGGGCACCTGGGTGGCTCAGTCTGTTAAGCGTCCGACTTCAGCTCAGTTCATGATCTCACGGTTCATGGGTTGGAGCCCCTCATCGGGCTCTGTGCTGACAGGTCAGAGCTTGGAGCCTGTCTTCAGATTCTGTGTCTCCCTCTCTCTCTAATCCTCCCCTGCTCAGGCTGTCTCTATCTCTCTATCAAAAAATAAAGTATTAAAAAAACAGAATTACTGCATAAATAAGGTTAACCATTACTACACCAGAAATATTTCATTAGATTATGTGTAATTTTTCAAGTAATAGTTTGAATTAAAATAGTGACATTCTGGGGCACCTGGGTGGCTCACTTGGTTAAGCATCTCACCTGCTCGGATCATAATCTCAC